TACGGCTTGTCAGAACTGTAACTACGGAGATTGCCGTCAGTAGATGTGTTCTTTAGCTACCGATACACTGATAATCCAAGACTCGGGTTGGTGAAAAGGGTTACCGACGTCGTGATGTTATTGTAACGCCGGGTGCTATTAGGCCAAGTGTCAACAGGGTATTTGGGCAAGTTGAAGTGTCATAGTACTTAAGCTAGTTGTTGCCTTTAAGTGTGCCGGGTGAGTGTAGTTGTGTCTAGTGTTCTTGTGAGTGTAGTAGAAGGTGCAACAAAAATAAAACAAAGCTGGCAGCGGGTCCGTGTGTCACAAGATAGTGTCATGCCAACATTGATATCATAAATTAACCCTTTTAACCGTTGTTTAAAGAGCCATCTTAGAGGCTCTAATGTTAACTCGACGCGGAAAATTTGGGTACACAAACACTATGAACATCTTTTTATACACACATGGGGTTTAAGGTCAGTATCTTGCCAGCCCTTGAAGTGGTCTCTTAATAATTCTGTGTGTAAATGTTTGGCGATGAGAGGCAGATCGTTTTAGATGTTATGAAATTTATAAGTAGCTTTTTTGTGTGTTGGGGTGGAGTCTGTTGACACATTTGAGTCAATAGTGTAGATTAATGTCAGACATGTCAGGCGAGGACCTTGACAACACTCAGGCACGTGAGAAGAGCCTCACTAGACAGCTCGTTGAGGCGCATGAAGTATCTGTCATTGAAGAGCCAGGCATTGGAATGTCATTGTAGTAACATATAACACCACTCACGAGCGCCGTCTCCACCATGTAGCCGCCTCTTTGTCTGTCTAGTCTGTGGTGGGATATGATCGTTGATGGAAACAGTGAGTAATGGTGCAAGTTTTTTATTCTGAGCCACACTGCTGGTTACAACAGACGTTTGGGCCAGTATAAATGGCTTGTAGAACTCAATGAAGCTCTTGAGTGTAAAGCCTTGACCCAGAACTCACTTGGAGTTTACGAGTTATTAGTAAGGGAAATAATATATCCCGACCTCGGTTAATTCCTAGACATGTCTTTATTCTGTCAAGTATTTAGCGTCGCTGGAGTAGTCATGTACAGCTGGTGAGTCGTGGAGCTCTTGATCCCTAGCCTCTTCGGGTCCTCTGTGGGCCTTCTGTGTAAACATTTAGACAGTGTACTTGTGTCCTGAGAGGGGAGGTGAGGTTTCGATGTGTGTGTTCGTGTGTGTGTGTGTCGTTAACCATCTCGTCACAGGCGTTCCTTCCTTCCTTCCTTCCATCACTTCCTTCACTTCCCAGGAGATGAAAACACCCTGGTGGCCCCAAACTTTGACGCTTATTGGCACATAAAACCGATTCAGCTTTAAGTCAGTTTCGTTAGCCAGGCTGATTCCCTACCCCCCCATCCCCATCCCCATCCACCCCCAGGAGACCTTCACCTAATGAGAGAGGGGATATGTTAGGTGTTGAGTGGTAAGTAGTGGCGCAAGGAGATTGGTCGAGAGGTCACCATATTAGGTGACTCGTGGGTTGGTTTAGGTGGTATACTTGTTGAGTGTGTCACCTGAGTCGGTACTTGTTGAGTGTGTCACCTGAGTCGGTCGGTACTAGTTGAGTGTGTCACCTGAGTCGGTACTTGTTGAGTGTGTCACCTGAGTCGGTACTTGTTGAGTGTGTCACCTGAGTCGGTCGGTACTTGTTGAGTGTGTCACCTGAGTCGGTGCTTGTTAGTGTGTCACCTGGTGTGAGTCCTTGTTAGGTGTGTCACCTGAGTCGGTCGGTACTAGTTGAGTGTGTCACCTGAGTCGGTCGGTACTTGTTGAGTGTGTCACCTGAGTCGGTACTTGTTGAGTGTGTCACCTGATTCGGTACTTGTTGAGTGTGTCACCTGAGTCGGTCGGTACTAGTTGAGTGTCACCCGAGTCAAAAGGAGATTGGGTCAGGAGGTGAAGTCAATATTCCTGCCCCCCTCCCCTCCCAATTTCAATTCCTTCTATTTTTTTGTTTCTTTCATTCTTCCTTTATATTTTCAACTTTCTTGCTATTGTTTCATCCACTTCTCTTAATCTTCCCTTTATATATTTATATTTCTTATTAGTGTTTCCTCCTCTTCCTCCTTCCTCCTCTTCCTCCTTCTTCCTCCTTCTTCCTCTTCCTCCTTCTTCCTCTTCCTCCTCCTTCTTTCTCTTCCTCCTTCTTCTTCCTCCTTCTTCTTTCTCTTCCTCCTTCTTCTTTCAAGCGGAATTTTTGTTGACTCATTCCAGCAGTCAAGCAAGTCTGGGAATAATCGTCCCAAGGTGACCCACGGTGTCCCAAGGTGACCCACGGTGAGTTGAAGGTTCTGGCGGGGCGGGCGAGGTTGGCTCTAACTGGATCGGTCAGGCCTTCTGCAGGGTAGAAATTAATACCATCGTGGGCGTGTGGTGGTGTAGATTTAACATGATATATGAATGTTCTTGTAGATTTAAACGTGATATAGGATTGTTCTTGTGGGTTTAAACGTGATATATGAATGCTCTTGTAGATTTAACATGTATGAATGTTCTTGTAGATTTAAACATGATATAAGAATGCTCTTGTAGATTTAACATATAAATGACATTGTAGATTTAACATGATATATGAATGTTCTTGTAGATTTAACATGATATATGAATGTTTTTGTAGATTTAACATGACATATGAATGTTTTTGTAGATTTAACATATATGATTGTTCTTGTGGATTTAAACGTGTTATATGAATGTTCTTGTAGATTTAACATGATATATGAATGTTCTTGTAGATTTAACATGATATATGAATGCTCTTGTAGATTTAACATATATAAATGTCATTGTAGATTTAACATGATATATGATTGTTCTTGTGGGTTTAAACGTGTTATATGAATGTTCTTGTAGATTTAACATGATATATGAATGTTCTTGTAGATATAACATGATATATGAATGTTCTTGTAGATTTAAACGTGTTTTTGAATGCTGCTGTTGGTTTAATACTATGAAAGCTGTTTTGGGTTTAATGTATGATGACTGTTGTAATGTTTGATGAGGATAACACGGAAGGTAAATATTGTCGTTGGGTAATGCTGAAATCTTTCTCTTGTGTATCGTACGCTGATGGCACCACCAGTCCTTGAGCAGTGTGTGTGAGTTTTTGTTATCGCTTAGTTTGAGAGAAATAACTAGAAAAAAGATAGATATAAATAGAAAAAGATAGGTAGAGAGAGAGAGAGATTGATTGTTCATCCCTAATTAATTCTGGCTGGTGTTTTTTGATCTGGGTCAAGAATTAAATTGTTTTGTGGCGGAAGAGAGAGGAAGCACGTGGTCAAGGGCAGACGCAGTATACCCACTACTGTATACGTCCTCAGGTGGCTGGCTGGTGGAAAGGATTTATGACTGAACACTCCCTCTCCGTGTATCTGGGTGAGGGTCAAGGTTGAATATGGGGTGGGGGGGAGGGCGATGTGTTAAGTTCATAGTGTGTTTTTGTGACTTTAAAGGAATGTCTGGGTGATTCATAGGGTACATGACTCAAGGTCTTTTGAATATATTAGCTCGTGGAGTAAGAAATCTTAACCTCTTGAATATAATGAATTAACCTCCTGAGTACAAGAACACCTTAAGTATATATAATGAAAGTCTTAACCTTTTACATACGATGACCTATGACTATGGTGACATATTCAGGGGGTTAATCGTAATATTCAAAGGGTGAAGTACTACAGACAAGGATAACGTGTACACAGGAGGGAAGGGCGAGGTGTGTTTGCACGTGTCTTCCTGTGTATGTGTAAGGGCCGTTGAAAAGGCAATACTTCCGACACCTTTTTGTATTGTGTCAGAAGGATGTATTCACCAAGAAAAGTTTCCTTTACATCCCTGTTCATTTGAGCCATACCCAAGTAAGGCCCCACAGCGCCATCTGTGAGTTAAAACAAAGCAGTTGGGAGTCTCACATCTTTAAAGGGACTACCGTATGTTCGTGACGATTATGTGAAGGACACCACGAAGAAACAGTGGTGAATTTTTCATAATCAAGATTTTGGTGACAACTGTGAGCCAGCGTGTACCCCGCCTGCCGCCTGCTGGTCAATACTCTTCTGTTGTCGGCTGGCGGTGCGTGACAGTGGCCGGCAGTGCTGGAGAGGATCATGGAAAACCCGGCGAGCGACGACACACCCTTACGTTGTGGTGGTGCGAGGAGGGAACCGGGTGTTTAAGTATGACGTCAGTGAGAAACAACGAACGTCTCTGAATTTTTAAGTTATTGTATAGAAGAGTAACTTGACTGGGTGACGATTAATGAAGCACCAAAGTCGTAAAACAAGAATAAGAAGGTATATCTTACTTAACGTGTGTGTGACTCATAGGTTGAAATGTAGACTTGGTGTCTGCATATGTGGATACACCTGCCCGCATACTGTGTGTGTAAATAACTTTGAGTGTGTGTGGGACGTATTGATGCTGATGAACTGTCACCTCATTGATTGCCAAGATAAGATTTATAATGTGTGGTGAACAAAGTGTGTCTTGTACTCTGGTTCTTGAACACCTGGGTCTTACCTGCTCTAGTGTAGGCCTAAGCTATAAAGTCATGACCGTGTGTAGGCCTGGACTCTGTAGGCATGTCCTTGTAAAGGTTCTACTATATAGTTGTCTTCGTGTGTGGTGGCGACAGCTAAACCACATTCTGGGTTCACCTTCTCATAGCTTTGTCAGCATCTACTGTAGTTAGGGTCGATGGGGGGCGATCACTGAAGGGGAATGTTCATGTTATTAGTGTGTTGTGGCGTATCTCACACCTGTACACACACACACACACACACACACCTGCCGGTACTCGTGTTTTAGTATTCATGTATACGTATACAACCCTCACGTGTAGTGTCCTCTCTCTCTCTCTCTCTCTCTCTCTCTCACACACACACACACACACAACACTTGTTACAACCTTTGAAAGCTTTTATTACCCCCTATGAGCCTTCAGTTAATTAGTGTTCCTTTTATTTTCCAGGTGTCGGGAAGACTTGTGAGCACCAGCAGAAGGTAAGCTACTGACGGGGAACACCTTGTCTGTCTGTCTTTGTCCCTTGTGCTACTTAGGGTTATCGTTTGATGGCTCTGAAAGAAGGGGGAGTCATTAGAGAGTGATGGCGATGATTGAGAGAGAGAGAGAGAGGATATGTTCATGAAAGTGTGTGTGTGTGTGTGTGTGAGCGAGCGAGAGAGAGAGAAAGAGCACTATGTATTCCTGCTATAATTCAGGTAAGAGAGGGAAGAACATCAAGTACTTCTTACCCCGGCAGAAGATGTAGATGTAGAGTCAGAGGGAAGGAAGGAAGGAAGGAAGGAGAGTGAGGCAGTACACACAATGTATCTTTTGCCGTCCTCATCGTGCGGTGGTTTTAAAGGGTAACCGGTAAGTGGTGTGGGTCGGTGTTGCCAACTTAGCGCGGGGGGAAATAAGCCGCTGTCGCCGCCGAGTCTAGCGATTGTCAGGGTCCCATAATTTTGGTGAGTTTATGCGACTTTTGGAGTGAATATATGGAATGTAAGCGACTTTGGGTTTAATGATTTCGTGACTATTAGTAAGTTTTATGATGTGCTGGATATAAACAACTTCTGTCAATATTTGGAGTAATTTTACTGAATTTACGAGACCTTGTGCTGTTTTGAGTTGAGTTTAGAGAGTTTTATGTTATTGTTTTAGCTAATTTGGAAATAGTGGCTCTCAGGGTGATAACGTAATTCGGCTTCGATTCACAGAGGTTCGTGCGTTGAATTTCTCTCGTTACTCAAGACGTTATGAATGCTTTTAACTGTGGATGACGTCACGTGATTAAGATGCGAGAACACGTCAACTATGGTATCAGAATGACGCTGAGAATAATTAGACCAGCTTAATCTAATAGCGTGGTTAATTAGACCAGCTTAATCCAACCGCTGGATAATTAGACCAGCTTAATCTAATAGCGTGGTTAATTAGACCGGCTTAATCCAACCGCTGGATAATTAGACCAGCTTAATCTAATAGCGTGGTTAATTAGACCAGATTAATCTAATAACGTGGTTAATTAGACCAGCTTAATCCAACAACTAGAATAGATAAGATCAGCTTACTCCATCGACCGGTATGATTGAAACAAACTTTATCCATCCAGCTTGATCCGGTTATTTATCAAACTTGTGTGGTGAGAATCCGTTGTTAACTTGAATGACCTTGTTGGTGTAAGTTGATTAGGTGACGTCCAGGTTGTTAGGTCAGAAGTTAGGGGTTCCATTAACTACTAGACTGGTCGACTGGCTACCTCTAGTGGTGAGAGAGATGCTGTAATAACTCGTCTTTATTGCGCGCGCCCGTGTGTGCGTGTGTGTGTGTGCGCGTAAGGAGGTGTTACTGGTGAGATAGGGGGTAGAAGAGGATGATGGGGGAATTAAAGAAAGGTTGAAAGAAAGAAAGAGGGGAGTATGGGAAGAGATTTAGAGAAAGAGAGGGATAAGGGAAGAGAGTTACAGAGGGAGGGGTAGGGGAGGGAGTGAGAGAGAAAGGGGGTCCTACTCTCTTTTGTCTTGGCTGATATAATCTTTAATCAGATATCGATTTAAGGACATATTTTTGCATTTTAATTTAAAGTTTTTGTGTATCTGTGATTGTCTATTTATTTCATTGTTCCCGCACCTTTTATACCTTTCCATTCCCTTTCCCCCACCCTCCCCCTCCTCTTTCCTCACCCATCCCTCCTTCCTCACCCATCCTCCTCTCACCTCTCCTCCCTTTCCCATTCCCTCCCTTCCTCTCACCTCTCCTCCTTGGGTGGTTCAGTTACCCTCTCACCACACACGGCTGCTTCCTTAAAGCTGAGCACGTCAGGAGGGAGAGGGGGGAGGGAAGGTGAGAGAGGGGGGGTGAGGAGGAGAGATAGAGAGAGAGGGGGTGAGGAGAGAGAGAGAGAGAGAGAGAGAGTACACATGTTAGGCAGGACCGTTAAGGGTGATAGCCTGTGTGCGTTACGTCCAGCTGACAGGTGGAGCCTCAGGGATGACTCGTCAGCTCTCACTCCACCCTTAGCTATCCACTCTTCCACCAGCCCATCACATGCAGCTACCATTCATCCACCCGCTTACCCTCTGCAACTATATAACCCTTTCATCCACCTGCATCGATCCGTTTATCCAACCGCTCTTCGTCCTCAACCGCCGCTCACATCCACTTCTCGACCCACGCACCCAACCTTTCATCCACTCGCACTCCTAATCCACCACTTATCCACCCCACTCACACACCTAACCCATGACATAAAATTAAATCCGTATCAATACCTTTCCGGCGTGTAAATGATAACACAACTAGCTATCCATATAACGTTCACAGTTGGTTGGGGGGGGGGGCGGCGGCAGGATATCACGTTGTACAAGATATCCGTCGACACACTCACTCTGGTTCCCGTGATGAGAGTGAAAGTGGTCTGAATAACTGACCCCTCCCCTCACCACCACCTCATTCCCCCCCTTGCTTCCTCCCCCCGCGTTGTCCCAGTACAAGTGGGTGGTGTGGCACCGTTGCCTCACCTCACTTAACACCCGTCATTATGGGTCCAGCTACCACGGTGATATTTGGTTTTGTTTTGTGATGGGAGGAAGTTTCTCTCTCTTTTGTAGGCACTTTGTCTTATTGTAGTTAATGTTGTTATTAATGAGCATACTGTAGGTTTTAACCAAATTTTGTATCCACGTTTGATATCATTTCAGTCGGGTTAAATAAGCAGAATTTTCCTTCCTCATTATTTCGTTATGACCTCATTGATGGATGCAGCTGGTGACTTGACCAGTTGTCAGAGGCATCCGGCTGTGTCTCCCGGAGTTGTTAAAAGAAACACAAGAACTAAAAAAAAAAAAAAATCGGTGATGAGATTTAACTGATTTTATTATCGTGTACAGTAGATACATCAGAATACAACGTCTTAAGGGTAATGGAGGTTTGCTGTCATTGTGGTCGCGTGTGTGTGTCTTTTTCACTGTTATAAGGGCGGGTAACTGACTCTCGCCTTTAAGTTAACATTCCCCACAGGCTATCTCAGTCGTCTGCTGTACATGACGAGGGGTTGTATGTCTGTATTAGTGTGTTGGTGCAGCTGCTGTCTTGTGTCCTGGTTGTAAATTAGGACCTGAATCTTGTGACACTTTCTCGCTGTTTATTATTATGCATCCTGCGTGCGTGTGTGTGTGTGTGTGTGTGTGTGTGTTGTTGTTGTTGTTGTTGTTGTTGTTGTTGTTCAGTGACCTTACCAGACATTGGATTTTTTCTGGGTACTCCGGTGCCGTCTCCTGTGCTGGTTCGTACAGGAGACGACCCTCACTGAACCTTTAGGGTGACATGCTAGCCTTAACCAGTAAAGCTATGCTATATAGATGTGTGTGTGTGTCGGTTTAGCTGTCTCATTGTTGCTGGTATTGGTCGTTTAAAGTCTGGTCTTCTAGGGTCACTTAGTAAAGGTGACTATATGTGTTACAGTAGTACAGATTAGTGTGTCTTTAGTTGCTTGCCGGTCGGGGGACATTGACGGACACACCCCTCAGGCTGTGGTGTTCGCCGGTGCCAGATATAGCCGGCTGTGCGTGGGAACTAGAGCAAAGACTAACTACGTCATTTTACTACCACGTCACAGTCGTCTTACATCACAGTGCTTAATGCTTAACTCTCACGCCAGAAATACACACAAAACACCTTTATTATTTACACCATCGTTCACCCGTGGGGGGGGGGGGTAAACCTTCAATGACAAGAAAGCTGTTTTGTTTTTGTTTTGTACAAGAACCTCACTACTAGAATCAGAAGTCGCCCATTTGGATTTTTCTTTTATCGCTTTGTTTTTTTTTTCCCAATTTGGTTCCTTCCTTTGTTTGCTTGATGGGGGACTGTAGCGATCGGTATGTTTGTGTCGGTCTGTTTATGATCAACGCATGTATGTATTGTAAGTGTAAAATCGATAGGTTGTAGGTGTATATCTGTCTATAATTAACTCCTTCGCCCGTCTGCCCCCTATACGTCTGTCTGTCCTACCTATTTATGAAGAGAAAGGAGGTGGGGGGTGTCTTGTTTGTCTGTCCTTCATTTTCGCTTCAACTGATTGTACACTCGCAACAAAAAGTATCGGTGCATACTGTAGTGTGAACAATTTGAGACCAGTGACGATAGGTATTGGGAAAGGCGAGTTGTTCCAGCCGTATGTTGGCAGCCCTGGTCAAGTGAAACAAACCGTTATAAATAAGGTCGGGAAGTGATAAATAGACAGAATGAAATATGAGGAGCTCCCTGTTAACAAAATGATTTGTGATACCTGTGAATATTGCCACATTAATTTATGCTACCAAATAAACCACTCCACCTGGTCGTCCCTTCACTGGTCTTCCCTTTCCTTCACTATTCTTACCTTTCCTTCACTAGTCTTCCCTTTCCTTCACTGGTCTTCCCTTTCCTTCACTAGTCTTACCTTTCCTTCACTAGTCTTACCTTTCCTTCACTAGTCTTCCCTTTCCTTCACCAAGAGGCACCTACACTAATGTATAACTTCAGTTGCCCTTAAATTTCTAACACCTACTTGGGTTCTGTGAGACCAAACTTGATGGTGATATTGAACATGTAGTACAGTATGTCAGGTGCTAGTGGTGTTGATGGCGGTGTTGGTGGTGGTGGTGATGGTGGTGTTGATGGTGGTGGTGGTGTTGATGGTGGTGGTGGTAAGCATAGCAGTGTTGTAAGATGTGATTGAATAGTACTGTAGATTTTCATAGTTTTTCCTCGATTGTCGGTACGTACTGTTATGTAATGTCTCCCGAAACGTTATGGTACAGGGAGGATGAGGTTAAGGTTGGTTAGGTTAATTTACGATAGGTTAGCGGTAGGGTGGTTAATCGTTAGGTGAGATAAGGTGGGGTGGAGATTCTTCAGGTGATGACTGTTCTAATTCACGTCTTTATACACACACTCCACACACACACACACACGCACACCCACGCGCGCACCCACCCACCCACCCACCCACCTA